AAAAAGTTCCGTACTCGATCGCCACTTTTTTCTATTAATTTTCTAGCGCCAAAAGTTACATCTTTTATGGTTATTCCTCCACTTTCCCTCCTCTACTCTCACCCTCTCCTTTCCTTAATTTCTTTTTATTAATCAGTCAGGTACTTCATTGAGATTCGAACCTCTGACGCTTGCTTAATACACGAGACTCTTAACCGCTAGGCCGCACATGATCGCTGTTGCAATAATCAATCTTTGGACGTATTTGAAGTATCCATTGAAATAAACTAAATATTCATGAGAAAATAAATATTCATAATGACGTTGTCAGAGTCGCCTGTATTTGTAGGCCTGAAGGACGGTTGAACCCTAAAACTAAAGCTCACTTTTCTGCAAATTCTGTAGTTGTGATTGTACTATAACCTCTAACTTGTAAGTTGTTTCATATATTCTCCAGGAACCAGGGTATTACTAGGCTGAAATCCAAGGTATGTACCTGACTTGAGTCGCTCAAGCTGACCTGCATGTGCATGACGTACCATATACTTGATTGTGTATAATTTCTGTTTGTGATCATTAACTTGGAGTTGATAGATTTTGCTTTATTTGTTCTGTTGCTTAATTTTAAGACTTGCATGGTGCATGCTTGATTGAGAGTTGTTTTTGCATAATTCAAGATTTTGCATGGTTGCATTGAAAGTTACTTGGTGTACTTTCATTTAAGTTATTACTTGGTTGATTGGTTTTTGTGTATACCTATGTTTTGGTCCTGGTTACTTGTATATATTTTTTGTAATTTATTTCTAGTTCATTGTAATAAATAAGTGCATATTTGTTATTTATTTAATCCTTTTGTCTGGTGTGGAATAATTGTGTGCATCACCTTGGGTGGGCTAACGACCCTTGTTTAAATTCTTTTTTCTTTTTCCTTTGCTTGCTGCATTCGCGCATGACAGACGTACTTGCACTATCATTGGCAGGCTCATGCGACGTAAATGACAAGGTGAGGTGACAATTAATATGTTTGGCAGCAGATAAATTGACGATCGAGTACGGAACTTTTCCCCGTTTTTGTACTTAATTAGTGTTTTGTGCTGAAAACAATTTTGCGGGGTTCTAAATCTATGAGGCTCCACTACTCATAGTTCTAGGAGTAAGTCCAAAGTAGGTGCCGGGAAGTGGATACGCGGATACGGGGATACGGGGTGGCACACGCGTGTGGTTTTGGGGAAGCATCCAAGCGTGACTCCGTATCCGCGTATCCGGATACGAGGATAGGTGAGTGGCGGGGTATTCTGCAATTGTGCCCAAACCGGTCTTAAACAAGTGTTTAATACCGGCCAAACACAAATTTGGTAATCCTTACTTTTAGGACACCTCTATTTTTTACCCCTCAGCCGAGAGGCTCGAGGGGTATTGTCATCGCCTAGGGTGTCCGTCCGTCCGTTCTGACCATACCACCCTTGTGGGGTGATGTTCCTTTCAGGACACATCACCCCACTTTTTTCACAATAGAAAAACATCACCCCAGAAGGGAATCTTTAGAAAAAGGGATAATGGGAACACAATGCTATCACCCCACAATTCCGTCTGGCTGGAACGTCCGTCCGTCCGGGTAGCTTGGTTTCCGGATGATAACTTGAGTAAGAAATGATATTTTGGTGTCTAACTTTGGTAGAGGGTTGCCCTTGGGAGTAGGCAAGTTGGGATTGGTTTTGGGGTCAAAAGGTCAAAGGTCAAGGTCACCATGGTGAGTTAAAGGTAAATGATTTCCGGATGATAACTTGAGTAAGAAATGAGATTTTGGTGTCTAACTTTTGTAGAGGGTTACCCTTGGGAGTAGGCAAGTTGGGATTGGTTTTGGGGTCAAAAGGTCAAAGGTCAAGGTCACCATGGTGAGTTAAAGGTAAATGATTTCCGGATGATAACTTGAGTAAGAAATGAGATTTTGGTGTCTAACTTTTGTAGAGGGTTACCCTTGGGAGTAGGCAAGTTGGAATTGGTTTTGGGGTCAATAGGTCAAAGTTCAAGGTCACCGTGGTGAGTTAAATGTAATTGGTTTCCAGATGATAACTTGAGTTAGAAATGAGATTTTGATGTCTAAATTTGGTAGGGGGTTGCCCTTGGGAGTAGGCAAGTTGGGATTGGTTTTGGGGTCTAAAGGTCAAGGTCACCTTGGTGAGTTAAATGTAAATGGTTTCCGGATGATAACCTGAGTAAGAAATGAGATTTTGGTGTTTGACTTAGGTAGGGGGTTGCCCTTGGATACAGGCAAGCTGGGATTGGTTTTGGGGTCAAAAGGTCAAAGGTCAAGGTCACCGTGGTGAGTTAAATGTAAATGGTTCCGAATGATAACTTCAGTTAGAAATGAAATTTTGGTGTCTAATTCGGTAGGGGTTTTTCCATCGGTACAGGCATGTTTGAACTGGTTCTGGGGTCAAAGGTCAAGGTCACCATGTTGAGTTAAAGGTTAATGGTTTCTGGATGATAACTTGACTCTGGCTGAGGGGTTTCAACAGCAACGCTGTTATTTTACAAGTTCTGTTCAAAACTGACTTTTGCAGATATGACCGTCCAGTACCAAAGTGACTCTTGCAGGCTAAAGCAGTCTTTTTTCTTCATATTATAAACTCATGTTTAGTTTTGAAAGCACTTTCGAAGAAAATGTGACTTTCCTACCTTTTTTCGCAGTCAGACGTGCATGTTGTAGTTCTCACACGCGTGAAAGCCCTACATAATGAAAGCCCAATGCTGATTGGCTGCTAAAAAAATTAATTAGTCTGGTTCCGAGACCAAAAGATTCTGACTACTCCTGAATCTTTTGGTCTGGGAACCAGACTAAAAATAAATAAATTAGTCTGGTTCTCAGACCAAAAGATTCTGACTATTCCTTAATCTTTTGGTCTGGGAACCAGACCAAAAATAAATAAGATGTTTATTTTTTATCAGCCAATCAGAATTGAGCTTTCCTCGCATCGAGCTTTCACGTTTGCCATCTTGGTTTTTACCCCTCAGCCGAGAGGCTCGAGGGGTATTGTCATCGCCTAGGGCGTCCGTCCGTCCGTCCGACCGTTCTGACCATACCACCCTTGTGGGGTGATGTTCCTTTCAGGACACATCACCCCACTTTTTTAACAATAGAAAAACATCACCCCAGAAGGGAATCTTTAGAAAAAGGGATAATGGGAACACAATGCTATCACCCCACAATTCCGTCTGGCTGGAAAGTGCGTATGTCTGTCCGTCCGTCCGTCCGTCCGGGTAGCTTGGTTTCCGGATGATAACTTGAGTTAGAAATGTTGTTTGGGGTTGTAACTTCGGTAGGGGGTTGCCCTTGGGAGTAGGCAAGTTGGGATTGGTTTTGAGGTCAAAAGGTCAAGGTTAAGGTCACCGTGGTGAGTTAAAGGTAAATGGTTTCCGGATAATAACTTGAGTTAGAAATGATATTTTGGTGTCTAACTTTGGTAGAGGGTTGCCCTTGGGAGTAGGCAAGTTGGGATGGGTTTTGGGGTCAAAAGGTCAAAGGTCAAGGTCACCATGGTGAGTTAAAGGTAAATGGTTTCCGGATGATAACTTGGGTTAGAAATGAGATTTTGATGTCTAACTTTGGTAGGGGGTTGCCCTTGAGAGTAAGCAAGTTGGGATTGGTTTTGGGGTCAAAATGTCAAAGGTCAAGGTTACCGTGGTGAGTTAAAGGTATATAGTTTTCGGATGATAACTTCAGGTAGAAATAAAATTTTGGTTTCTAACTTTGGTAGAGGGTTACCCTTGGGGGTAGGCAAGTTGGGATTGGTTTTGGGGTCAAAAGGTCAAAGGTCAAGGTCACCGTGGTGAGTTAAATGTAAATGGTTTCCGGATGATACCTTGAGTAAGAAATTAGATTTTGGTGTTTGACTTAGGTAGGGGGTTGCCCTTGGGTACAGGCAAGCTGGGATTGGTTTTGGGGTCAAAAGGTCAAAGGTCAAGGTCACCGTGGTGAGTTAAATGTAAATGGTTCCGAATGATAACTTGAGTTAGAAATGAAATTTTGGTGTCTAACTTCGGTAGGGGGTTTTCCATCGGTACAGGCATGTTGGGACTGGTTCTGGGGTCAAAGGCCAAAGGTCAAGGTCACCATGTTGAGTTAAAGGTTAATGGTTTCCGGATGATAACTTGACTCTGGCTGAGGGGTTTCAACAGCAACGCTGTTATTTTTGTGTCTGTTTTCTCATCATCGTCTTTTACCCCTGAATTTCCCTCATAAATCAAAGCCCTGCCCTCTTTCCACAAAATTAAACCTGCTGATATTCAAGGAGGTGTCATTGCCAATTGTTCAGATGTGCCAAGAAGTATCAGAATGTCAATTTTGAGTGTCATTTAGTCAACTGTTTTAGTGAGTCTTTCCCTTCCTATATAGGAACGGGGTCCTAAAAGTAAGGATTACCACAAATTTATTCCGGCAATTCATAAATTTACCTTTTCATCGTTTTCGGTCAAAAATCGAAAGTTTTAGGTCCAAAAGTCAAAACAAGTCAAAATTATAAATTTTGTTCAACAATTCTACTTCATGTTTTTCAAAACGCCCCTCTAGCTATATTATCATCATTGGTTATGGTATGGCCCTGTCACATATATCTGTAAAAAAACTCCTTATTATATATGAGATTAGATTGGTGCACGTGGCACAGAACGCAGCTGTGCTAGTGACAGTGTGGTGTGAATTTAGGACAATGTAATACTGACTCACTGGTAGTATTGCGCATGCCTTCGTGAGGACAGTGAACGTTTAACCAATAAAACGGTAAAAGGCACCAGATTTACGAGCCCAATTTTCATTTCACACCGGAACAGTGTTTAAGACCAGCCAACCGGTCTTTATCAACGGTTTAAAACTGGCCATGTGACGGGCTCTCTACCAAAAGGGTGTACTGTCTTAGTGTGTGAGGAAGCATTGAAACCAAGGGTTGTTATGAGGATTTTAAACCGAAAAGGCCCCCAATGTCATTAACGTTTTATTTGATTGTTTTGTTTTTAAATTCTAGTGGATTACCCCATACGTCTCGTTAACGGTAGTAGCTATCTGGAGGGCCGAGTGGAGGTGTACGTCGACGGATCGTGGGGAACAGTTTGCGATGACAGCTGGGATCTGTCAGACGCCACAGTGGTGTGTCGACAGCTGGGCTACGGATATGCCCTGCACGCTCATTCATTGGCGTACTTTGGACAAGGCAGCGGACCCATCAAGTACGACAATGTGCGTTGCCAGGGTGATGAAAGCATGTTACACCTTTGTCCGTTGTCGACCATCGACAATTGCGGACACCATGAAGACGCTGGTGTGGTCTGCTCAGCACCCAGCCCGACTCCGTCATGTAAGTTTCAAATTTCTTTTTTACTATAATTTTTAATTTATTGTGATTTTGTTTACAGACTCGCCGGAGGATGGAGTATCTAACTTGATTGTTCATATGCGATACCTACCTTTCGTGTTGTTAAAAGCTTATCGTACACAATATAATTTAACACACTGCAGAATTCAATGTTGGCAAGATGCTTGGCCATTGCTTATGTCGAGGTCGAGTAAATATTTCAGGTAGTGTTTTTGTTCTGAAGTAGCTCAGCGTAAGAAAACTTTAGCCCATAGTTTCTTCATGACAGTTCAGAGCATTCATTAACAACATCTTTACACTATGACTGGCGCTTTCCGACTGTCATTTAAGAGTCTTGACGAACTAAAATAGTCCCGAGATGCAAATCAATTTGAGCATTTAAAGCAGTTTGATTGGTAGCTGTAGAGTACTTGTTAAGAACAACACCAGAGCCTGGTCTATGCAAAAGTAATGCAATATTTCCTCGCAGTGTTTGGTTTGAAGTGATTTTGGAATGCCAGTCTGAAAACCTGTGTGTAAATCCTTTCCTGAAACTTAAACCCAACACTTGCATAGTAAGGCCGTGACGTAGACCCGATTGCACTTTATCAATTTTATTACACGAAACTGCCTAAAGTTGTAATTTTCGACACATTTCAGAAAGGCAAACACCCTTTTCTATTGATTACTTGCCGATAAATTGTTAAAGAAAAATATGAGTAAAACAGCTTTTGAGTCCATTTACCAACAATTTCCCGCTGTCTGGATTGTGGATGAATCAAACGAAAAGAACCAATCACAACGCACGTAACCATATGCTACTCGGCAGGCAACTTGCGTGAAGCGCGCATGCGCTGACTGACAAAGCATCAAAGCGCGGCACCATTTGCACACGTGCAAGCTTACCGTAGGCCGGCCTGCGAGGGCCGAGCTAGCTTTGCTTTCTCGGCGATGGCGCAGCCAGTCATTATAAATGCACCGTTGCTAGTCGTGATGCGTGTACACAGTGTGCAGGCCGTTCGCTGACAGATGACTGCTCAACGAACTTCATGTAAACATCGGTGAACATCACTCACTTTGCCACAATAATGACTCAACCCCAGGTTTACTATATATTTTATTTCACACTTAGAAAATTACAGTTTTATTCAATGAGTCTCTTTAACGAATAAAAAGGAATCTAGTATTAGTTGCAAAGTTGGCCAGTGAAATGTTTAGTTGCCGAACGCAGGGGAAGTGAGCGCGCCAGCGCAGCGCAGCATTCACGCAGTCGTGCCAGCAGCTTGGTAGTAGAGTGGGAAGGGTCTTCTGGGTTTTTGTTATGATTTCAAAAAAAAATCACGGGTCTGAGGGTACCCACCCGTTACAGAAATCGGGTACCCATTCCCAACAAAACCCTGTATACGCACGCCCTTGTTGTGCAGTAACCTCCATGGCTTATTCTTGACTCTTTGAAATAATGGACTGACCCAATAGGCCGCGCCCACTGCGAAAGTTGGCAACAACATCTGTGTCCATCCAATATGCCACACTGCATATTCCTGCCACACACATCATACATAAGCGCTCACAAGCACAACTTTTGTTGGACATGAATCAGGACTATATCTGAACAAATTATGGGGGGAGGAGGGGGACGGGTGGTATTGGGACGTCAAAAATACTGCTAACAGAGCCACGGATCTTTGTTTCTGAATCTACCAAAATCTATGAAAATCATATTTCGAGTATTTTGAAAGGTAGTGAGTGAGGTGAGTGCGTTTGATTTTGCAGCCCCAATTGCAGCCCCAAGGAATATTCGTCTTGTCGATGGCGGTGACACTTTTCAAGGTAGAGTGGAGGTGTACGTAGACGGCGCTTGGGGAACAGTCTGTGACGACGAATGGGACATCAACGATGCAAGTGTAGTGTGCCGTCAGCTGGGCTACACCCGTGCCATCTCAGCGCCCGGCTTGGCATCTTTCGGCGCCGGATCAGTCCCGATAGCTTTAGACGACGTACGTTGTACAGGAGGGGAGAGTCGGTTGCAGGACTGCGAGTCAGCAAGCACTAACAACTGCAATCACAACGAAGATGCCGGGGTCGTCTGTGCAAGTTAGTACTGAGAATGATGATAACTTGCATGAGCTTTAGGCGAGGATTATTCCATGTTGCCGCACTTTTTATCAATCTTTGCCCGATACAAAAGTTTCTCTTCATGAAAACACTTACAATGTGAAACATATAGGGCCTAAGGCCAAAAAAGAAAAGTCTCTGGTTTCTGGTATGCGTGCGCCTTGCCGTAGCCATGCGCGTCGGCAAAATTAAAAAGTTTTTTTTTTTTTTCAATGTTAGATGATGTCTCAAAACCGGCAAACTCACTGGTTTGACTGGAATCCTGCTGCTGCACAATTTTAACGTGTTTTTAGATGGGGTACGATCGAGTATAAGCTTTATGTGGCCTCTCTGGGCTCCCATATATTTTGCACTAAATTTAGTCGGGCACCATTTGCAGACGGTGTTGTAATTTTGTTGTAATTTTGTAATTGTGCGTCTGGAAGCCAGACTGAGGGAGCAATGGTCGCTTATTAATTAGCGCAGTATGCAAGGGAGCAGACTAATGAACAGCCTGGCTGCACATGCACGATGTCGTTGTCACTGCATGGTCTGACGTTACCGTTTTCTCAGATTTTTGTAGTGCTGCAACTGATCCTCAAAGTTTGGTTTGGTTCGATTGTCGGTTCGAATTTTTTTTTCTCCGAACATCGGTTCGGTTCGGCTTCGGAAGTACATACATAATGTACATGTCCATGGTACAATGTATAGGCCTACAATGAAAAGCATATTCTTATAGGCCGTTCGCCGGTTCGAACGTGTGTACCGCGCACGTCTGACAGAAATAGTCATCGCAATTTCCAGATGCTATAGAACACAAGTTGAAGGGGATCTCATTTTTGTTGTGTAAACAAAATACCGTAATAATTCGAGTTTATGACGTTGAGAAATGAACATCGTATATTGCTACCTGGTACGTGTTACCTATCGCGCGTGTCGTGGCCCTATCCCGGCAGCGAACTATGATCAAATTTTCCCACAAGTGCTGACGTATTTTCCCGACGAGTTCCATCCCGTCCGAGCCTGCCCTGAGCACTAAACACTTGCTTCGTGGCAATAATTGCTGATTATTTTTGTTATAAGAACAACAGGTCCTTTTACTGTACCAAACTTATGAAATCAATTTTAGCAACAAGCTGACAAGTAGCTACCGTAAGAAAAATTCAACTTTTCGATTCGCGACTTTCATCAAATTCTCATTCTGTGGACAGATCCATTAATTTTGTAAAGGGGTGCTTCACCCTTTTTTGGGAGATTACATCGTTTTTCATATAAATTGTTTTCAAATTTTTTTTATTGCGACGATTAAGAACTTATTCTGAACAAGGGAAAGGTTTCAGACTCCATAAAAAGTATTATTTGTAATTTTGACATGGTGAAAATGCTGGTAAATTGTGCTAAGAAAGCACACCCTTCACTGCAAATGGTTTGGTCCAAACGTACTATGTCACACTGGAACGGCAGGGATAGAGATCGACCGCGCTGTTTGAATTATACACAGAATAAAAAAAGCACGCTTTTCATTGATTAGGCACTACCCTAATTCGTCTAGTCGGCGGTACCAGCATTTGACTTTTGTGCTCTTGTTTTTTCAGAGGCCAGGTTCACCCTACGTCTCGTCGGTGGCAGCAGTGAATCCCAGGGCCGAGTGGAGGTTTACGTGAATGGGGTTTGGGGAACGGTCTGTGATGACAGCTGGGATTTAGATGAAGCGAGGGTGGTATGTCGCCAGCTGGGATACGGCAATGCCATTGAAGCTGTCGGCTCGGAACGCTTTGGCCAGGGCAGCGGAGATATTTTGTTCGATGACGTGGCGTGCACTGGATCGGAGACAAACTTACTGGATTGCTACTGGTCAACTGTAATTAACTGTGGACATCATGAGAAAGCGGGTGTCATCTGTGGTACATCCAGGTCAGGTAGGCCAGTCTATTATTACCTATAGGCAAATATTTTGGTTTTTGTCTCTTCCCTGTATTCCTTTCAATTTCTTGTAAACTCAATACTGTCTGGTAGCTAAAGGGGAGAATGTAATAAGCTCACTCAGACAGGATTCGAACCCACAACCTCCCACTTTCTATAATAGATGTCTTACCACTTGATTGATTGCCAGGGTAGCTGGGCTGGTTCAAATTCGATATAGCAGCAGCGTTTTTCATAAGACTTGGTGGACAGGTTTCCAAAATATTAAACAAGTTGGTCATCCATTTGTAGATCAGAAATTTAAAGGTCAATAGGATGATGGGTTCGAACAGCTTAGAGCAAGTTTGGACTCAAACTATAGTTAGCCATACCAGGGTGAGTTAAAAAAAACGAAACGCAAATGTCGGGACCATTGTTTTAGTGAAGTTTTGCATGTAGCACTTTCAAAATCCAGGATATGAAAGCCCAATTCATAAGCTTTTTTCTAGTACAAGAATCATTCAAATCACTCATGTACTTTTCAAGTTACGGAATGTTAAAATTCTGTCCACGGATTCACCAAAAAGGGGGGGGGGTTCAGAAAAACGAAAACAAGTCGCACACATCCCTATGTGATTTGCTTTCGTTTTGCTGAAAGAACACTTTGTGATCCGTGGACAGAACTTTAAAACGGTGGTTGTGTTTAAAATTCCATAACTTGAAAAGTACATGAGTCATTTGAATGATTCTTGTACTAAAACAAAGCTTATGAATCGGGCTTTCATATCCTACATTTTGAAAGTGCTACATGCAGAACTTCACTAACACAATGGTCCCGACATTTGGGTTTCGTTTTTTTTTTTTTACTCAACCTGTACTTTGACTAACTTCACTTGAATGAAGGATGGTTGGACTAAACTAGTTGACTATTTGGAACCGGGGCATGGTTCAATCGCTGGTTACCAATAGCCGAGCGGAGCCAGGACTTTTGACCATCATTTGACTAGAGGCATTCATGCGTTGCCATTGGTGTGCAGGCGTAAGTTCTGTCACAAATCAACCACCAGTCGACTGATGGTCCGCGCCGAACTTCCTCTTCTTAGGTGGAGATTTTTCTGTCTCAATTTATTGACACAAATTCATTTCCCGTATGATTACAGATTCGTCAACAATCCGACTTGTTGACGGTGACAGCGCGCTGGAGGGCCGTGTGGAGGTGTACGTCGGGGGTATGTGGGGCACCGTCTGCGACGATGTCTGGGATCTCGCAGACGCCACCGTGGTTTGTCGCCAGCTTGGTTATGGAAAAGCACTGACAGCTCAAGGGAACGCAGCCTATGGCCCTGGAACCGGATCGATAGTCTTTGACGTAGTGCATTGTCGGGGAACCGAAGACACTATACAGGATTGCTTTTATTCTACTCAGGGCAACTGCCTTCACAGTGAAGATGCAAGTGTCTCTTGTAGCAGTTCGTCGGCAGGTAACAAATGTTCTCCTCAGTCCCTCTGTTTTTCATCCTGGGCAATTTTGTCAATTCTTTTCTCCTACAAACAAATCCACCTGCCATCCGAAAAGAACGGCTTAACTCACCGGAAAAAACTTCTTCAGTTGTAGACATAAAAAACAGATGGGGGTGTTTTTTTTTTGCCTGCTCCCTCTAGTCACTGGTGAGGGTCGTGATGCTTATACATACACTTGTTCAGATGCAAACAATTTGAATATGCAAAAATGCTCATTAATATGCAAAAACATGTAGTGTCCTAATGTAAGCATTTTGCGCATGGTGGCAGTGTTCCTGAACTTCATGTGTCTGTCTTTTTTCTTCACTTTGGGGGGGGGGGGGGTGCTTGTGCACAGAGTGCGTAAACCATTTTGAGCCATGCATTTGCCCCAAACTCTGATTCCTCATGTTAAAATTTTCAAAACACATTAATAAGGCCGACGTCAAATAAATCCTTTCCAATATGGATATTTACGAGGTCTCTGGAGAGCTCAGCTCAGTATAACTAATGACCCTAGCATGTTAGTCCGGTGTCGCACCCATACTCTCCTTTCAGCTGAGAACTGGTACCTGCCGGTTGGACAATCAAGGCCGTCACTGAAAATTGTCCTGTACATGTACATGTATACAAACTGGCAGGATGCCAGGGGGATCGCGCAAAGTTTTACTTGCAGTATTTTTTTAAGTTGCTAAGAAATCGCTATCATATAAAAATTGACCACAATTGGGTGATGAGTCAGAAATGCAGTGTTTGTGTTCATCATCTCTGTGATGTTCAATACAGTTCTCGTTTCTTCACCAGCCTATGAGTTTGGTCAAGTGCGTCTGGTCGAGGGCAGTTCGGAGTACGAGGGATACGTGGAGATCTATTACAATCAACAATGGGGCACTATCTGCAATGACCGATGGGACAAGACAGATGCAGACGTGGTTTGCAAGGAGCTGGGGCACGAGTTTGCCATCGCCACATCTGACACCTTAGGTATTTTCAAATTTCGCAATTGTCCATATTTAAATTAGAAGCCATTTTTGAGGGAGACTTGATGACAAGTCGTTAGATAGTCGTATTTTGTCCGTAAGCTTCATTCGAATTCCATCCGCATGGCTGGTATAAGACTAGTATGTAATCGGCCGGGTTGCAACAAATCTAACGACTTGACGATAACGTTCTCGCACCGTTATTCATATATATGCAAGCGGCAGTGCAATACATATGCAGCACATTTTCGCGGTGAGATCCAATCGCGCACAGCTATCCAAATGAGGACTCATGCATTCATTCCGTTACATGGGGAGTTCTTCTCAATACGTCAGGGACATGTTTGCAGATCGGGCGACGTTTGAACGGCTAAATCCCTCAGCTTGGTCTATTGTGTATAGAAATGAAATGTATCACTGTGATATACTTGATTTATTTGAGTTGTGTATGCCCTATAATGAATGTTGTAATGTTACACAACTCAAAGTACAAACCCTCGAAGTAATGAGAACGATCTTCCGTGGCGGCCTAGAATACACTCTGAAATCTGAACCAATCAGAGTGCTCGCATAGAATTCGCTGGCAATTCAAACTACTCCCATATGTTGTGTTCAAAATTGAAAATGTTTTCTCCAAGTCGGTAATTGATCAGAAATAGTCAGCATCATTTGGTCTGGGAACCAGACAATGCACATTGCGGCAATATTTTGCGTGTTGGAGCCAGTGTCCGTACGTAAAACAATTACCGACTTGGCATTAAGTCTATTTTTGAGGTGGAACGGCATCCGCACGGATGCCAAACGCATTCATAAAGACATGGTGTGCGCGCATTTTGGTTACCCTATTGGCCAAAGAGGAAAGAATGCAGTATCCAGACGCCACTTCTTTGGTTGTGTGCAAAAAAGTCTATAGAGAGTCGAGTGCATTTTCAAAATATTTCCTAACAAAATTGAAAATGTTTCTCGGTCCCAGATTCATGTCTTTTTTTTTCAAATTTTTGTAATGACTGACCTTCATTGAGATGATATAAAGGGGCGTCAACATTCTTTCTGTCACACAGTACACAGACTTTTAGGTTTTACGTCTCGCAAGGTTGAGGTTAATGATGTAAATTGTGGGTAACAATCATAGAGCTATATTAAATTACTAGAGCGCTAACTCCTCATTCTTGCGCGCGGAGACGCTGTGAAGCCGCTCTGGGCGCAGACATTTTGAATTCATGTGCGTGTTTGTAGAACACAATCAAAATATATGGATTTAATGTTAAAAGTGTACTCTAAATGCAACGGGCAAGTAGAAGATACGCAAACAACTTAAGCGCGTCATGACGGTTCAAAAAACGTCACGGCGAAAAGCATCTGCAGCGGAGGAACGCGCACACGTTGCGCTGTTTGCGTAGAGCAACATGAAACGCTCATTTGTTGATCGTGCGTTTCAGTTTTGGGCTTATCGGCTTCGATGACGCGCACCGGAATGGAATACAAACGCAGATATGCAAATAGCCGTACAAAAGCTGTACAAAATTTCGAGTTTTCCGTAGGTTTGTGCACAAACATGGATGCGCCCATCAGGCATTACTTTGTACATCGAGTTAGCGCTCTAGTAATTTAGCTCTATAGTAACAATTTGGTTGTTTTGAAGAAGAAAAAAATGAGGTGTTAAATAATGACGAATACTTGAACATATATCGCCTTTTGTTTCATTGCTTGGTTTAGAATACAAAACCGGAAGGAGTAGTACCAAACCCATCTGGCTTGATGATGTTGCCTGTGGAAGTTTTGAAACCAGACTAGTCAATTGCGACCATGACCAATGGGATAATAACTACTGTTCTCATGCTGAAGACGTGTGGGTGAAATGCAACGGTGCTCCGGGTAAGTACAGAGCTGCATATCTGGGTACAAACACCCACTAAAGCAGTTTAGTACCTTTACTTAAAACTGATTTTTCGCCTCTAGTGCCTTGCTAGAGCAAAAGTTTTACCTCAAATTTCAAATTAGTATCTTGCGGACCTTTATGGACAATCTGTACAGCAACTTCCGAGATTTAAATGTTGGGGTTGGTTTCTTTAACGGGTACCTGGGTACCCGTGTTTTTTTTTCAGGCGGGTACCCGATTCCTGTACTACCCGTAAATGCACACCATTAACCTGAGGTTTACTCCATGAAGTGCATTATATGGATATCTATGAACTCATGCAATATGTCACATGATCAGTTTTCAACCAATGACATGTCACCATCTAATAACCACAGTTTACTACACCTCATAAATATCCATGATCAAATAAGAACACGTCATTGGCCGATTCCGCCGCACGTCCGGTAAGTAAAAATGATACGTGCCCAGGTGACGTCATCCCGGTGAGTATCCAGCTCGCTGCCGTGCGGTATTTTTTTCTGGTAGCACCAAAAATTCCCTCTGGAACCCGCCCATAGACATGTACCGGTATAGTCTGTGGCATGTAATCTTTACGGAATCAGTCTGTTGTTGCAGTCCTTGTAACTATTGCAGTAAAGACACATTACACCAGACTATTTCATTGACTGACAAAGAACTTGAATATCGATCTTGTGCTGAATAAAGATGCAAAATACGAAGGCCGTTATCGACAAGGCAGTGAGGCTACTAAATATTTATGAGGTTTAGTAAAACAAATACAGCATGTTTTTTTTTTTGAAAAAAGTTGGAATTACTGGTCCCTCGGTGTAGGTCAGCTTGACTACCTCCCTCTGCTTCGCGTCGGGAGGTAGTCCAGCTGACCTACACTTCGGGACCAGTAATTCCCACTACTTCTCCTCAAACCAGGCTGTATTTGTATAATACCAACCGTCCCATTGCAGGACTCTCCTCCGGAGCGGTAATTGGGATTGGGATAATTGGGGTGATCGGTGGCTGTATTCTGTTGTTCGTCTGTTGCAAACTGAGCTGGGGACGTTGCAAATCGACCAAAGGCCCCGCCAACTCAACAACAGCGGTAAGTTTTACCTGGTTCACTTCATTTGCACGTTGCTAGATAATGGTGACTGCATTGAAAACATTCTACTAACAAAATTTATGTATCATTTATAAATACCCGGGACAGTTGACCCATTCCTATTGGTGGAGGCCGTCACGTGGGTGGTTTTAAACGGTTGATGAAACGCTAACTGGTTTTAAACACTTTTTTTCCGGTGTCACATGGATTTGGACTCCTACAAAATCTGGTCCCTTTTACCCTTTTATTGGTTGAACATTCACAATCTACACTTAGGCATACGCAATACTACCAAGAGTCCAAAATGCACACTTCACTGGCACTGCCATTTCCTGCGCACATTACACGCACATCGCACAGTATGCGCTACACACGCGTCAATCTCCGTATAAGGAGATTTTTAGTACTACTCCAGAGAGGCACATACCATAAGGCCGAGGGAATGAAAGTCATAGAATACCGTCCACTGCCCGCATGTGCCGAAAGGTGCCGCCGAAATTTTTCATTTTTACAAAAAAAAAATCATTATTTACCCAGAATATTAATCTGCCACAATAATTTACTTTTAATTTTATCAGAATCTGCTCTACACAAATTTTCTAACGCAGATTAGTCGTATTCTGTGTACCACATTGGCGGGAAACCCAATCTGCCCACACGAACAGAGTACAGTGAACACACATATGCAGTACGTGTATACAATGTATAGCGCGCGGTTACCAGCACTAGCGCTGCATACCAACGACTCCCTTTGGCCGTTTTCCCAAACACTTTCATGATGTCTACGTAGTGACATCATGCAATTTGTTTGATTCTGGTTAGTGCTTCAGAATAATGAATAATGAAAAAAAGCCTCATTGTTTTACAAACTCAGCAGGACGGTATTCTATGACTTTCAATCCCTCGGCCTAAACATAGCTAGAGGGGTGTTTCACAAAACACGAAGTGGAACAGTTGAACAAAATCGTTGGAAATTTATAATTTTTGACTTGTTTTGCATTTTTGACTGAAAGGTTATTTGCGGCCTGGTCGCCGATAATGGCCTTCTCCAAATCCGCATCCAGACCCCAAGCTGATTTTAAACGTACTTGTGAAAAGCACATACTTATCCAAATTTTTTAATTTGAAAACAAAAAATGAATGGCATAATAAGCCTGTTTTGAAATGATCGGTGCATTCTGAGAATGGATGACAATAAAACCAGGCAATTTGTGCACAAAACCAATGGGGCTGTGAACCACTTAAAACTTTCATTTGATTTCAAATATTCCAGCTGTCCTATGCGCCAACATTGTGGTTTGTTACGAACCCACTTATCCTGTAATCCTTGAGTAGAATACATCCATACCCAAAACGCAATGCGATTGTCAAAAAGGTTTATTGTTTGTGACAGGCTTCGTCAACTACCTATTCCCCGGTACGGCGAACCAGCGGAAGTAATCCTGGAGATCTCGTGGTCCACTACCATCCTCAGCAGTCCCCCCAGTTGTCAGATGTCGAGGCCCCGCCCCCTCCCTACGAGTCAGTCATCTCTCAGCCCACAAACTTCCCACTGGTAACTGGCACAGAGATGCTAACCAATACTCTTTTGAAGTAATTATTAGGATTTTGAGGCATGTATCTACTCTTGAAAATTCCAGCTGTCCTATGCGCCAACATTGTGGTTTGTTACGAACCCACTTATCCTGTAATCCTTTAGTAGAATACATCCATACCCAAAACGCAATGCGATTGTCAAAAAGGTTTATTGTTTGTGACAGGCTTTGTCAGCTACCTATTCCCAGGTACCAACCAGCGGAAGTAATCCTGGAGCTCCTCCTGTGGTCCACTACCATCCACCTCAGCAGTATATTCATCAACCCTCACAGCCAATGCAGCCGTCTGCCCACCAGTTGTCAGATACCGAGGCCCCGCCCCCTACCTACGAGTTGTCAGATGCCGAGGCCCCGCCCCCTACCTACGAGTTGTCAGATGCCGAGGCCCCGCCCCCTACCTACGAGTTGTCAGATACCGAGGCCCCGCCCCCTACCTACGAGTCTGATCCAGCCTATCCACCAGCGCCATTGCCGTCTGGTCAGAACCCCCCATCTGCACCCAACCCAGCTGCACCCCAACCCCAGGTAATATCCAATCCAATGTACTTGGATGCTGATGACGTAATCACTTAATGGTTCAGGGAGGTTCGTAACTGGAAAGGATCTGACATCAGTTCCAGATGACTGACGAGTCATCGTAAGCCAATCATAAGCCGATCACAAGTCAATCATAAGCCAGTAACAAGTGAATCACAAGTCAATCACAAGTCAGTAACAAGCTAATCACAGGTCAATCACTGATCAATCAATCAAAGGTCAATCACAAGTCAATAAAAGTCAATCATAAATCAATATAAGTCAATCATAAGTCAATCACAAGTCTATCACAAGTCAATCACAAGTCAATCACCAACCAATCACAAGTCAGTCACAAGTTAATCACAAGTCAATCACAACTCAATCATAAGCCATTCACAAGCTAATCACAGGTCAATCATAAGCCGATCACAAGCCAATCACAAGCCAATTTTAGGCCTAATAGTAAAAACTTACTGTCCTTAATTTTCAAATTTGTTACGGTAGATTCAAAAATTGTATAAGAAGATGAACCTTCGCAGTTAAATATTTGGACATTGTTACGTGTAATTATTAGAATTCTCTAGGGTGTTGTTATTTTTATATATTATTTAAATAAACATGGCAAATTTTGAAGAAGTATTTGAAAATTGTGACAGGGTTGGTATATAAAAAAAATGTTTAACCTGGCTGAAATACAGCAACAGGGGATCATTTACATTAGCTGGTGCGTTAAAATTTCAGTGTTGGAGGTCTCGACCAAAGTCTTGAGCCGTGTCCGCACTGGACTTTTTTTTTGGAAGGTTTTACCGAGACGATGGTAAAATGAGAAATGGTCAAATGTGACCACTGTCCGCACTTGGACTTTCGACATGGGAAAATTTACCCAGACCGCGTGGGAGAAGTAACCGAGCTGTCACAGTGTCAGTATTATATAATGACTCACCGTACACAAAAAACAAATTGCCAATCATATTTTCAGCCGCCGATACGCACAGTAATATTACACACGCCATTTGCATGCACAACCTAATCGTTTACACGATATTATTGCATCTTGACACGCTAAAACTTGTCGAAAAGGCCTATAATTATGACGCATTTGTGATGCACGTCGTCGAAGCCATGCCGCTGTACGATGTTCCGTGCGGCAGCAGTGCCATCAGTATTCGTTGGTTCCCATCGCATGCTTACAGAATCGAAGCTATGATGTGGGCCAGGAACCAGTGACTACGGCCTACGTACGGTACCGGACCATGATGTTCATTGCATGACTACAGTAGCGTATCAGGACGAATTTGGATCGTAGAAAATAACATACATCGGTGGAGAAAGAGAATTTCCGCAAATTAATTCTCAGAACGTGATCTCTCTTCTCTGTGTATGTATTTGTCCGTTGAAATATTTATTTTAACGAGATTTTACCGCTCGGACTTGATGATACACTGCAGCGTGTTAATTTCTACAAAATTTTCGGCTACTGCACGTGCATGTTCGTGCAGTCTCTGTATGCATAACAGGGCGCTCGGGCCGGATGTACGCTTTTCTGAGCCGCTTTTACCGACTCGCACTGTCCGCACTGGACTTATCGTCTCGGGAAAAGTGACCTGGTAAGTTTTCCTGGGCGCGTGGGAAGTTTTCCTGGGCAGCAGTTGGCCAGTAAAAGTAACCGCTGGACTCAGGAAAAGTAACCGAGAGGAAAACGTCCTAGGCTGTCCGCACTGGACTTAAAATGGGAAAAGTACCCATAGTCTCGGTTAGTTTGACCAAAAAAAGTCCAGTGCGGACAGGGCTTTGGTCTCGAGACTAGTCTCGAGACCATTTTTGCCCAGAAAATTTGACAATGGATTTTTTTGGCAGATTTCTGACAGAATCTTCAAATAATTATGTGTAAAAAATGGTAAATTTGTTTAAAAAATGTTTTCAAACAAACACTTGCATAATGGGACAGGTTGGCTGGTCTATAGTGCTTAGCTCTATTAGAACTGGGACTTAATACGTCGCGACATTAAGTTTTGAATTAACCGCATTTTATGCAATTTCATGACATCTTTATATGTGACTATAAATTGTTTATAATGTAATTTGAACCTTAATTAAGACAAAACTACAACAGCTGCAATTCTGCATGTGATTTTAAGTGTTAATAGTGTATTTCGAGTGATTCTGGGGAATTTGGCAGATTTTTGATAAATCTGACAGATTTTTGAAGCGCATTTAGCAGAATTTGTGCATGACCTTACGGTCACCCTGGCGGCGTTCCCTCCAGCATGATGAAGTGATTAAGTGCAGAAGTGATGGACATGAGGAGTAAAAACCACAAAGCTGATGCAGACATGTCTCGTGAGAAATTGAGTGCAAAGCCACTTTTAATCCGAGTCAAATTTGTGGTGTTATGGCTTGTGTTTTTCATCATGATAGCAGGCACAACAAGGGGAGCCAGTGGACAGGGTAAGAAGTGGTATTTGAAAGCGATTTTTAAATCGATCTCTTCGTCCAGGTTATTTTCTTTTTTTGTAAAGCTCTAGCTGTTACCCAGCCCTAAATTTTATCATTGGGTTGTCATTTAGGGCTGGAGGAAGTTGTTCACCAAAACCAGCAGCATTGGCAGGTCCCAAAAAAAAATTCGAAAATGTGCAATTGGAAAGATTTCCATATACGAAGTTCACTCAACACCCTGTGTACAAACCCTATGAGATTGGACTGAAAAATTCTAAGTTGTTTTCTAAGAAAATGCTTGTATTTTCTCACTACTCAAATTGACTTTGATGACATGAAATTGCTATCTGGGGCCTTGTTAGTCAATACAGAGGAAAATTAGTGAACTTCGTATATGGAAATCTTTCCGTGCAATTTTGTCGCAGTTACACACTAACTTCAACTGGAATTCACCCAAACCTAGCCCAGGTGGACTCCCTTTCCTCCCTACGTTACGGAGGGAGTCCAGGGTATGAATAGACCCATGAACGTGGCTTGTAAACTACGCCACGCTCTTGTGTATTTTCGAACCTGGCGAAATTGTCCCTCTGACTCCCTCCGTTACACACACTGGACGTTATTTTGCCAATGTAATAAGTACTCACATACTCACATATTGAAATCTGTCTGTACGTTAAAACTTGCATTTGACGAAAATTCTGGCCCCGGTTCATGAAGTCCTGCTAGTTGCCATTTTCTCCCAACTGACGCATGCGCATTGCGTTTTATTGTACCGTCCTGTTTCGTATGATTCGACGGCTGTTTACTGTCGCAGCTAAAAGAGACATCGTTTTAGACAAGTTTCAAGTTTTTTCCTCTCTCACCGCACTGCACGCGGGCGCACGTGCGTGTACGAGATGAGCCGAGCAGCCAATCGGGTTCGGGGTTTTTTTTTCGGGGTTGCGACATGAAACAGCCGTCAATCTGTCCAAGCAACTCGTCCGGGGTCATTTGTCAGGGTCACTTGAGGGGTTAAAATCTAATTTCTACACGTTCGTATGGGTCTTTATTGATGGCAAATTTCGTCGAAATTACACAGCCTGAACGATCGGACGGGCAAATTTAGATTTCTAGGTGAGTACTCAACATGCATACGGAATTATGTATGGCGGATCGATTTCGCTAGGTTCAAAAATACACAACAGCTTGTATACAAACGTATACAACGCCACGTTCACGGGTCTAGGGTATGAATAGCCCCATAAATGTGGCCAATTTACTGGACTATGATGTCTGACCAAGACTAATGAATGATAAATATCGGAGCCGAAATGAATGGACAAAGGAGACACGATTGTGCAGGATGGATACCTCATATGAGAGTGTGTAATTTAGTACATGCCATTCAGGTCAAGGGTCATAAGCATATACTGCTCTAGAACACATGCAGTAGAAGGTGGCTATACAAACGCATTGCAAACATTACATTCCTCCTATCTTTTGAATAATGACTCAAGTATTTCTTGCAAATGAACTGTTGGATAAATTGCAAAATTCAAGGTGGAAATAAAATGCAAATGTGTTATAAATCAAATGTTAGAGTCCTTCATTTTGTTAGTGTCCAAGTGTTCATTATATAAATCATGATTCAACAACGCAGATTTCTAGAGTTCAGCATCCATGAATCTTGATGAAGTCAGCTCAATTAGAAATGATCATAGCAAAACATCAAGGAATTAAAACATGGTAGCACAATGTTTTTTTATTAAAGTGTTTGAGAGTTGCAGATTGAGATTTCGTTGAAATTGAATTGATCTTGAGGTTCAAATTACTCTTTTTTTCTTTTCTTTTTTTTGTTGAATAACACAACTTGACTAAACTAAATTAACACTTGAGAGGAGAGGTTACAAGCACTTCACTCTCTATCCAGATCTTTACCATCTGGTTCCTTAGGTATGTACAATGTAATCCTTCAGACGCTGGGGTGCTCGGTGATTTCTGGCGGGGTTTCGTCTGACAGGTGGATTAGTCTGGTTTTCAGCAGGTGTGTCATACATGTCCATGTCCGAGTCATCTGGATCGTAGTGGACTGGTTGTTTTGCTGGTGTTGAAATGGTCTGCTTCAGGCGTTTGAAGAATGAGGCATTTCTGGTGACGGTAGTGTTGTCGTCACGGGTAGCTGTTACCATTGATCCTTTCAGTGAAGTGATGGTTAACGGTTGAAGTTGATATGGTGTCATGGAAGTGGAGATGATTCCAGTTTGTTTCACCAGTACACGGTCACCAACCTTTAGCTTGTGTGTGCGCATGGACTTTTTGTTGTCGGCATTTGTCTTCATGGTTTCCTTCATGTGTGCGTCTTTGGCTTTGATGTTGGGTTGGACTGGAGTAGTGTGAACATCAGGCAGGCGAGTGCGGAATGAGTGGGCGAAGAGTAATGATGCAGGTGTGACGCCGGTAGTACTATGAGGGGTGGATCTGTAGTTGCGGAGATATGCATACATAGCCTGCTGCCAAGATCGGCCTTCGGCTTTTGCAGTGCGATACATTTTGTTCAGATTCCGCATCATGCGCTCAACCTCGCCGTTTGCTTGTGGCCAGATGGGTGTAATGCGGCGATGTTGAAATCCAATGTACCGGTACTTGGCAAAGGACGCGAATTCTGCACTCTGAAATGGTGGGCCGTTATCTGTGCGAACAACTTGTGGGCAGCCAAAAGTTGCGAAGATTTTGTCGAGCTTGGGGATGACAGATTTTGCAGAGGTGGCGCTTGAGATTTCGAT